CCCCCGGCCCACACACAAGTCGTGATCATTTCTCAAAATGAAATTTTGAGAATTAAAGTTATAATTGCAGGAACAAAGGAGAGCAGAAAACAACGGCAGGGCCGGAAGTATAGATGGGTCTCCTGAAGTACCTGCCTTATTTTGGGCAAAAAGTTTACTTTATTTCACCTGCTGCTTTCCAGCTTCTGTTGCACTTCCTGCCCAAAGCGTGGGGCTGACTTGACACAAGAAGCAGAGCAGGCAGCACACACCCTTCTTCCGCTAGTGAAGTGGTATCGCACACAAGAGCGATTCCACCTGTACCTTTTACAGTTCTAGAAGACTGAAATTTTCTTAGCAGAAAGAGTTACAAGTCTGTCAACTGGTGAAATGGAAACAAATAAGATTTTGAATTACAGAAAAAATTGAATGGCTGCTGAAAAGAAAAATACAGAGTGGTCACAACTTAATCACACAAATAAGTCAGCCAACAAATTTTAAATTAATTGGGGGGAGGGGGGAGAGAGAGAAAGGGAGGACAACTAGAAATCCAAATGTCAATTTTACTCCACCTAGCTGAACATAAAGAGGAAGGAGGAAAGGAAAAAACTCCTCACCTGACAGAAACAGGTTATTCTTACAGACACTGTTGAGATATCATCTTCCTCGCTGGTACACAACAGTAACAGGCCAACACTGCTTGATTAGTTCACTTGTCCCTAAACACTACATCACGATGCCAGCAAGCTTCCTCACACCGCTGAGATCTTTTGGTTAGCAGTAGAGGTACATTACTCTTCCTTGCATTAGTCACAGCTCACCAGTCTGTCCAGTGTTATTGCGAGACTGTGTTCATTGGCAAGAGGCTGAAACAGAGGGTAGTCCTGAGTTGACCTCTTCCTCCTTGGCTGCTGGAGTAGAGCATGCTCCGAGCACAACTCTGAAGTAACACCCCTCCCAGGGTGCACAGAGCCTTGTTGATCCCACAGGCAACACTTCTCCCTTTCAAGCTGCGGAGGGTTGGGGCAGGCTGACGAAGGAGGACACTCAGGACACTCGTCCCCAATCAGCTCCTCCCCTTCTCCATGCCAGACCTAAAGGCTGGGCACGCAGCACTACACCTGGCCGCGGGTCCGAGCTATGCGGCACCGAGTCAAGTACCAGATTAGCTTCAGGACTGCATTGCTAACCGATTACTCCGCTATTGCATAGACATCTCATTCCCTTATCGCAACAATACCAGCACTGCCCAACACTACTGCAAGGTAATGCTAACTTCTGCATTTAGACAGCAGAAGACAACAAAAACAGTTTGTTTAAACGTTTTTAAGCCAAGCAAGCTTTAGTTCTACAAGCCCTAACTATTTTTAGCAATTTGATTAGATATAAGGATATTAAACTTTAAGAAGTAATAACCACTAGCCCAGAGAAGTTCAGATCCAGAAGATGGTTACTGTAAAACTAGTTTTGTAGACGAGCAGGAGGTCATCACAGATTCACCTCCACAGATATGCTTCCCCTCCCTCCCATTACACCTACTGTGCTGTTTCGTAGCTTATTTTACTTGTATATTAAATGACAAATTATAGTATATACTACGAATATGTCCTTCAAACACTGCAAGGGAACTGAAAAAAAACCACAAAATAATACATAATAACTTAAGAAAATAAGGTATTTGTCGACAAAGGAACAAGTACTCTCAGGTTCGCTTTTTGAGGACCATATCTCACAACAAATGCAGGAAAATACTTAGAAGTGCTACTCAAAGGTGCCTTTCAAATCACACTAATACGCAGGTCTTGAGTGTCCTAATAGGACAGCTCCTACAACGAAAGTAACGCTTTTATATAAAAAGCTTTAAAAGGTGAGGGGAAGCTCAGAAGAGTTAAGAAGGCCTTTTTTGAAAACAGATAAAAATAAAATAACAATTGCTAGCCTATCTGAACATTCTTCATAAAGAGATGTTCAGTTTTCCTTTTTGTAAGGAACATTATGGAGTTCAAGAGAACACCACAGATATTCATCATACTCTGTCCTCTAAAAATCAAAGGCAACCAATTATAGCCAAGTTCTCTCTCATACTTGCATCCTAAGAAGAAAAAGATTACGGAAAGGAGAGGGATCTTTACAACTTCTCTTCCCATTCCTTTCTCTATTTTGCTTGCTCAGTTATACACTACCTCTTCACATAACATCAAGCGCATCTGCAAACAGGAACACCTGCGTTTATCAAAAAGCACAGATTAGAGTTGCGATATAGACACAGCTCATGCAATTTTTCTGGTAAATCCTCTAAGATCCTAACATGAAAGCACGGGTTTTTTACAGGGGTGGGAAGGAGAAGGGCAAACCAGTTTCCAGGCCGAGTTTTAAGTCCATAATTATAAATGGTTTATGTCATTTCTCATCCAATGGAGAAAGAAAAAAAAAATAGAAACACAGCTTCAACACAACAACTGATGCAGAACAGTACCTCCAATTAAAAAGCAGGTAAACTTATTTAACTGATGACCTTCTGAATCAGGAGGGGAAAAAAAGAAAAAAAAAAAAAAATCAATTCACCAACTGCTCTCTGCTCTGCTGGTCAAAAATGAAAAAATCCTTTATCTTCTCAATGAACTCATACATACCTACTATATTTTTTTTACGTTCACAAAGATGGAACGTATCGAAGCTAATCTCTGACTTAGTTTGGGGAACGGAAGATAGAAGAATCCTGGAGTAACGTCACTTTGAGGTGCAGCACTGCAAATCTTAGGCACTTAGGCATTTCAGTTCTGAATTAAAATATGTCATACTCTATAAGAAGAGGGGACCAAAGCAACAGTATTTTATACAGTCTATCAGTCTGGAAATAGATATCTGAATTACTTTGTTTACATATACCGAAGCCATAAAGATATATTTTCCAGGTTTATTCTGTATGTAGTGGGGGGCACTGACGAAGGCAAAGAAAGAAAAGACAAAGAAATAAACTACTCTCTTTATTTTGTAGCTTTTGGTACAAAACACGTTAATGCCTTCATACCAAATAAGAAAATACATTTAAACTGAGACTTCTTACCAGCATTTGCTTAAAATTCTCCCCTAAACGAAAGCCGTGCTTCATACTGAAAAGCAAAGAGAAGGGCCTCCTTACCCATATACCATCCCAGAAAACACTTCTGTGTAGCTGTTTGTAAATGATACTTCAAATAAACATACTAAGACATTTCAAGACTGTAAAACAAAGGATTTTGAATTGTCAAGATACAGCAGCAACACCAATCAACAGATGCTTCAAGAAGACTCTAGGATATGCAGATCATGCTAAGACCACTTTCCAAGCAATAGGCAAAAGAAACCACACAGTTCTGCAGTCAGCAGTGAAAGCTATCCCAAAGAAACTGCCTTCAAAATTGACAACCATATCGTCATGGGACAGCAGCTTGAATTTTAACTAGCACATTCAATACACACAGTGTATACGCAGGGTCATATGCTGTATGACTTTAACGTTACTATTATGCTGATAAACTTTCTCATTTCCAATTCAAGATAACACAACACCTTGAAGATCAATCCTTCCTCCCGGAAGGACTTTGTTTTTAAAGGTGTAAAGCAGACATTTAAAACGTACCTGCCACTGCAAATACCATGTGGACTTCTTTTAATGAGCAAATATAAACATATAAAAAGGTTTTTAAAACAGCATATCTGGGAAAGCTTGAGCCGTACCAGGCAAGGCAATTTTGAAGCAGTGCAACGTTTGCGATAGTTCTAGCCCAACAGACCAGAAACTAGCTTGCTGCTGCCACCATCTCCTTAAGAAATACTGGAAGCTCACCTAGAATATCCACAGAAACTCTGTGCATCTTGGAAAGGCACATGACAGGGTACCAAAAGGCATATTATCACAGAAGCTTCAGCTCTTGTAGCCTAACAAAAAAAGAGTGCTCCATCTGGGTCAACACTGACTTTCTGACTAATCAGGAGTCTGACCAGACTCCAGAGCTGTGTGTTGCCATTCCTTTTTTTTTTTTTTTTCCTTGTTTACATGGACAAGACCTGCAGATGCAGCCTGGGCAGAAGAGAGGGAAAGAATTTTAGGAGGGATGTTCACGTTTTGCACCCAATAGATTCATTTCCTCCCCTTTCCAAGCACGTACAAAGAACTGGTGGCTGTTTTCTCGCACAAAGTGCGGTAGCCAGGATGAAAATCAGTGTATTCAAGGTTGACACTACAGCCTTCCTTAATATTTCAGTTCAGTCTGTCATCTTGATGAACCAACGAACACTAGCAAGTAAAAATAAGTTCAATAATAATTGCAAAGAAACATGCAAAGGGAAAAAAAAAAGCCCTACAGATTGTGTAGTTAGCTCTGCTAACAGTAAATGAAGCACCATTTAGTCAAGAAACATTCTACATATTGCTGTTTCCATAGAAGAAGTTCCCTCCCCTCTGAAGCAGCAGAAAAGACAGCCACTGTTGCAAGGAATAGAAGACCTACTCTTCTGAGATGAGCTTCGTGTCAAACTCCTCAGTCTTGTGTCCTGATAGTTTTAAGCGGAAATGATTTAGAGATGCATGTATTTAACAAAGAAAGCTTGTTCGTACTCAGAAGTTTGGCTATATCAGCCACATACGCAGTACAAATCAGCTCTCTTTGAAGAGATGTATGTCTTTCATATAATACTAAACCAAAGTGACCTAGAAACTTAGGAAAAAGCACACTTTTGATTAGGCTAAAACAAGACATTGACTGAGAAACTCCATCACTTAAAACACATCATAACGGATTTGTAGCTACGATTTTTACAAAGTTTCAGTACGTTTAGTATCTCAGTCCAGCAACACAATGCATGTATATTAAGAAACCTCGGGGGAGGGGGAACATGCATCTCCCGTATTTACATGTTCCCCCACACATCCCCATGTTAAAACATCTGCATTTTAACCTCCGTTTACAGTTTTATATTTGCATACTTTTTATTTTTTTTAAGGAAAAAATATATATATTAAAAAAAGACATTCTTACCTGTATATCCTGCCCACCAGCCCCAGGAAGCCACCATAGCTAAAAGCCATTTAAACAGCACTCCTTCGATATACCAGAAGCGCTTACTGTCCAGCACCCGGAGCGGCTGCAGCACGGGCAGGGAAAAGACCGAGGA